GCTTTCTCCTTTCATCATTTCTTCCTTTTACGATAACACTCATTTTTATCTGCGATCAACAAGGCCACAAAGAAACAGAGGACATATGGCATCAACGATTAGGTCATCCATCTCAAGGGATATTAAATCATCCTATACGAGCGTCAGTTCTTGAAAAGAACAGTTTACTTTTACTTGATGGAACAGAATTGAAGTCGTCACCCCGACCGACCATCTGCACCACGTGTACCACTGCTTATCTTCCTCATGAACCTTTTCCAAGTCATTTTCCAGGATCTATTCGCTACACGCTTACGCACAAAGTCTGCAGCGATATCATGAACTTACCTGAAGCCGGGCCTATGGGGGAGCTCTATATGATATCTTTTATCGAAGCTTCTACTCGCTACGTTTGGATTGTCAACATCCCAACTCGCTCACTCCATTTTTGTCGCATGGCTTGAAGTAGCTAAGAGATAATTGAAGGAGAAGCTCCAAGAACTTCAAAGTGACGGAGCAGGAGAGTATACTAGTAACACCTGTACTGAGTATCTTCAAACCTTAGGCATCAAACGCCGAGGGTCTCTACCACATCAACACCAATAGATGGGGTAGCGGAGCGGACGAACAGAGCTTTACAGGAGAAGAAGCGAGTTTTGCTGACTCACGCAGCACTTCCACCGCATTTTCGGACATACGCCCTGGATCAAGCGGTTCTTCCGCACAACTTGCTGTCCACAACGTCTCTTCCATATTTCTTTGTCAAAGATGAAGTCGAGAAGGGGAGAATGCGATTGGTCTACTGCTCGATCAATGAAATGGTCGTAGATTTTCTCACCAAGGAGTTGACATGTCAGAAGTTCCAATACTGCAACGAGCTCTACGGAATCATCAAGAAGTGACACTATCTGACTTCCAGAAATGAAGGGGAGTGTTGTGATAAATTCGTACTTAAGCATTTCTGTAAGTAGTTCCAATAGATATTATATATTTTAATGTACTTAGCATCCGTAGAATGACGTCAGCAAATAGCGCTCGTATGATGATTACGTCAGGAGGCCATTTCAGTCACGCGAACAGTCACGCCCCTTTCAGTAGCGATAAGAGCGTATAGCGCGACTAGCTTTGAACAGGTACATTACCCGAACAGGTACTTCTAGCAAAAATGAAAGTAACTTGTTCTTTAGTAAATTCTGGACACCACTTACAAGTTCGAAGACTTCAAATATCCTACTAATGTACCATTCTACCAAAAGATCCTTGCTCAAGTCTTGAAGTATCACAAGGCTATCTCAAAGTAATAAGATGACTAGAATCGAGGGTACAGGATAGTTTTGTGCTAGTGTTATACTCTCTAAGAGCATTCACCTATCTAGCCTATAATAACATATGCATATATATTTGACAATCCCCCTAGGCTAGATAAGGGGCAGTGCTTGGCAAGAGACACGCAACTCAAGGTGGCACTACTAGTCCCAACCCCTGAGATAAGGGTGTGAAGACCAGTACGAAGGGTACAAACTAGGCAAGAGCAAACCAGGGAGGCACTACTAGTCCGGCCACTGGAAGAGAAGCCACAAGGCGAGTCAGAAGTATATATGAAAAAGTAGTACACAATCAAGGTCCTAGCTACAGGAACTAGACCAAGCTGCACACAGTGTCGCTGATGATCTTTAAGTGCAATTGCCTTAGTAAAGATATCAGCTATGTTGGCACTGGGGGCCAAGTGTACTATGCGGGGCCTGGCGGCACTGCTGTAACTCGCGCAAGAGGAAGTACTGCAGCTGGATGTGCTTCACTGTGCCAGTCAAGGCTCCTGACACAGGAGGATCAAGGCCCTATTGTCAGTGTACAGGACTGGGGCAGAGCTAGGCCGCTCACCTACTGTAAGTCTGTCCATGACAGCAGCGTGGATCTTAGCCTCACAGCTAAGCTGGGCAACAGACGACAAGCGGGTGGACCTCCACAAGATGGCGCTTGCACCAAGGCTAAAGCAGTAGCCCTGAGAGGACCTGAGCTTCTCACTGTCGTCCGCCCACGAAGCGTCTGTGTGCCATGTAAGACCCACCGGCATGCGTCCTCCTAGCACTACCCCCGTGCCCGATGTACTTTCTAGATAACGCAAAACCCTCTTAGCGGCGACCAGTGCTGTGGTCGATGCCTGCCTGTCGCCACGAAGCAAGTCAGAATGCTAAGAGGGTATGTGAGGTCTGGACGAGTGCAACTCATCAGGTACTGTACCACAAGAACGTTGCTACCAAGACCGAACTTATCGGCTACGTCAACTCCGATCACGCCGGCGATAAGGACAGCCGACACTCACACACCGGCAACATCTACCATCTAGAACCTATCGGCACTATCTTGGCACCCGGGAAAGTAAGTACTAATCGCTCTCTCATCTGCTGAAGTCGAACATATCGCCCTGTGCACAGCCACAAAAGAAGGACTGTACCTGCGCGAGATGCTCGACGGTTGACCACAAGCTTGACGACACCACGCAGAGGTTACGAAAGGGCTACGGTCGCAAACCGTTGACCGTGCAACCCAACGGTCGGAATCGGAAGAGTCAAGAGTCAGCGCGACAGCAAGGACGAATAAGCGTCTTGTTATTGTTGTGATAAAATTGTACTTAAGGATGTCTGTAAGTAGGTTCCGATTAGATATTGTCGAGTTATACTATAGTTAGCATCCTTAGAATAACGTCAGCAAATAGCGCTCGTCTGGATGGTTACGTCTGCAAGCCGTTTTAGTCACGCGAACAGTCGCGCTCCTTTCAGTAGTGATTAGAGCGCATAGCGGCAAATAGTTTTGAACAGGTACATTACCGAACAGGTACTTCTAGCAGATATAAAGTAGCTTGTATGACTTCAATTATTAACTTGTTCTTGAGTAAATTTTGGTCAAGAATTACAAGTTCTAAACAGGGCTTCAGATTGGATTTGAGGGGTTGTTGGCTCAAGGTGCCCCCAGAAGGAGCCCCCGTTTTTCAGGGTCGGGTTTTGGAAGTTTGCAATTTTTTTTAGAGTAAAAATTTCGAAGGCTGAAAAATCAGGACTGAATTTTTTCAGTGCTGAGATGATAGGTTGAACCTTGAAGATTTTTTAGGGTGGGTAGGGATTTTAACCTAGCACATTATGTTAGACATCGCATGTTTGTCATACCAAAAAAAAAAAAAGCCTGACTCAGCAAGTACATTTTTTACCGTTTATTATCCTTAGATCAGATCGGACTTCATTGTGTACAAATTCTCACACTACTAGCATGATTTTAGCCAAGGACTTGTCACGGCCCCTCACACATGCTCCAACTCGCGTCAGACTGCCTGCGTGATTTTGGCGGACCAATCACGCCCCTCACATCTGCTCCAACGCGCGCTACCTGCGTAATTTTGCCTAAGGTCCAGTCACGCCCCTCACACCTGCTCCAGCTCGTGTCAAACTGCTTGCGTGATTTTGGCGAAGGACCAATCACGCCCCTCACATGTGCTCCAGCTTGCGTCACCTGCGTCATTTTGGCTAAGGACAAGACACGCCCCTCACAATTGCTCCAGCTCGCCTCGACCAGTCAGATAGAATTCTGTTTCAGGCTGGAAATCCGTTAAGGCTGATAATTCAGGGTGACCAAAAACAAGAAACATACAATATTTTAGGCCTGCTCAAATGACAACCCTAAAATGCAGGCCTAGGAAAAATCAAAAGCTGAAAAAACAGGACGACCCTAAAAAAATACCCTGTTATACAGAATTTCAGGGCATTTTATCCTGACTTCTGAAGCCCTGGTTCTAAGGCTTCCGTTGTCTTACTAGTCTACCATTACAGCAAAGATCCTTGGTTAAGTCTTTAAGTATCACAAGGCTGTTGTTAACGTAGAAACGAATGATTACTAGAGGTGGAAACCTAGAACAAATACTAGTTGGTTGTACTCACTAGGAGCATACCTCAGTCTAGCCTATAACTTCTACATAGATAATATGTATAAGTTGACACACCCCTAGGCTAGACAAGGGGTGAAACTAAACAAGAAGCAAACAGCTCAGGGCGGCACTACTAGTCCAACCACTGAGGCAGGGGTCTGGAGACCAGTCAGCAAGAATACAACCAAAACTGAAGCAAGCCAGGGTGGCACTACTAGTCCAGCCACTGGAGGTAAGGCCACAAGGCCAGTCTGACAAGCATATATAATAGAGAGTACACAATCAGGATCCTAACAGGGGAGCAGCTACAGGAACAAGACCAAGCTGTACACAGTGCCGCTGATGATCTTTAGGCGCAAGCGCCTTAGTAAAGATATCAGCTGTGTTGGCACCTGAGGCCAAGTGAACTACGCGGGCCTGGCAGCGCTGCTGTAGCTCGCGCAGGAGGAAGTACCGCAGCTGGATATGCTTCGCTCTGCCCTCAAGCCGAGGCTCCTGACACAGGAGTATCATGGCCCTGTTGTCAGCGTACAGGACCGGGGCAGAGCTAGGCCGCTCACCTAAGTCTGTGAGCAAGAGGTCAGCCAGCGGAGCTCCTGTGCCGCCATGGCACCAGCGTAGATCTCAGCCTCACAGCTAGACTGAGCCACAGACGACGAGCGAGTGGATCTCCAAGAGATAGCACCCGAACCAAGGCTGAAACAGTAGCCCTGCGACGACCTGAGCGTCTCAGCGTCGTCTGCCCAAGAAGCGTCTGTGTGCCCAGTAAGGACCACTGGCCTGCGTCCTCCTAGCACTAACCCCATGCCTGATGTACTAGCAAGATAACGCAAAACCCTCTTAGCGGCAGACCAGTGCTGAGGTCGGTGTCTGCCTGTAGCCACAAAGCGAGCCAGGATGCTGAGAGGGTATGCGAGATCTGGGCGAGTGCAAGTCATCAGGTACATGAGGCAACCCACCAGCTCTGCGTAGGGGCCACTGGGCTCTACTGGCTCCTCAGGAACGGGAGCAGAGAGCCCATGGTCTACGGGTAGAGGTGTGGGCTGTGCAGAGGAGAACTGAAGACCGAACCTCTGAAGGACCTGACGCACCAAGTGTGACTGGGTCAGAGTGATGGTGCGTGCTGCTCTGTCCCTAGAGATCTGCAGGCCAAGATAGCGACGCAGCTCTCCAAGGTCAGTGCAGGTGTGTCTCTTCAGCAGCTCAGCCTTCACAGAGGCCAGTGCGTCCCTGTCAGGAGTAGCGAAGACCAGGTCGTCTACGTAGACAAGGATGTAGAACGGAGTCTGGCCGGAACGCACAAACAGTGAAGGGTCAGCAGAGGACGGAAAGAACTGCAGGTCTGCTAACGTGGCACGTAGCGTGTCGTGCCACTCGCGGGGAGCCTGACGCAGGCCGTAGACCGGGCGCCTGAGAAGCCACTGGGTCCCAGGAGGGAAGGTACCAGTGAAGCCCTTGTGGTCGGCGCAGGTAGACCTGCTCGTGTAGGCTGCCCTGAAGAAAGGCAGTAGAGAAGTCGAGGGAGTGAAGCTCGTAGTCACGCTGTGCTGCTACGTGTAGCAGCGCCCGAAGAGTGGTCATCTTCGGGGTCGGGGCGAAGGTCTGGAAGAAGTCAACCCCCTCGCGCTGACTGAAACCTCTGGCCACATAGCGCGCCTTGAAGACAGGCGGCTCTCCAGGGGGGCGCTTCACCTTGAAGAGCCACCGACCATCGACTACGTTCACCCCAGGCGGGGGAACTGCGTCGACGTAAGTCCGGTGGATCTCCAAGATGCCATCTCCTGCTCCATGGCAGCTATCCACTGAGAGGCCCAAGGTCCCGAGGTGGCCTCAGCGTAGGTGCGAGGGGTCGGGATGTCGAAGGCGTCTGGGTCACCCTCAGGGACTAACAGCATGGAGCAGAGATGGGGAGCAGCCTCGGAAAGGAAACCAGCTCGTACTGCCTGTCCTCTAGGACGTCACTGCCAAGGGCAGGAGCACCCCGACGGACAGAGGACGGGCAGGGTCAGAGACCAGAGCGGTAGCGTAGTCAAGGCGGCGGGTAGAGCGAAGTCAGCGACAGCAGCGACAAGCGCGTCAAGGCGCGAGACAGGAACAGCAGGGTCGGTAACAAGAGAGGCAAGGACCCGAGGGACAAGGGGACGAGCAGCACGGAGGTAGTCAGAGAACGGAGGAGGTGCAACAGCAAGGGACGAGGGAGGAGGGGACGGGAGGAGGGGAGGACGAGACGAGTGGGAACGGAGCAACATAGGGTGGGTGGGCAGGACAGGAGAGACGGGACGAGCACGGGAGGGACGGCGAGCCCAAACGTGAGACGGAGGGGTAGGGTCAGGGGACAGCGGAGGAGACACAGGAGGGGAACGAGGAGGAAGACGGGCCGGAGACGAGTCTGGCGGCGGGAACACAGGACCGTAGACAGGAAGGTCAGGAGGCGGTGGGGAGACACCGGCGCGCGGTCCGGGGAGGGAAGGCCGAGCAGGCGGAGAGCGGAAACCGGCGGCGACGGCTGCTGCGGCGGCGACGACGGCTGGGCCGGAACTCTCGGACCAGCAGAGGCAGAACGACCGTCGGCAGAACACTCAACAGCAGCACCCCCAGAACCAACACCCCCAGAGCGAGAACCCCCTCCAACACCAGCGGCACCCCAGAAGCCGCAGGACGAACACCCTCCTCCACACCAGCACCCCAGGGGCCGAGAGCAGCGGCGGCAGTGGCGGCAACGGCTGCGGCGGCGGCGACAGCGGCGACGGCTGCGGCAGCGACAGCGGCGGCGGCGGCGACGACAGCGGCGACGGCTGCGGCGGCGACGGCGACGGCGGCGGCAGCGGGGTCGGCGACTGCGACAGTGGGGGCGGAGGCACCGGGGAAGGGGGACGCGGCAAGGACGGACCGGGGGTACCACCAGAGTCAGCAGACTCCTCAACGGGGACAACCGACGGGAGGGGAGTGACGTGGGAGACACCAGACGGGGCAGGACGAGGCGGGAGAGGGGCAGGGGCTACCGGGGGAGAGGGAGCAAGGAAAAGGGGGGGGGCAACTGGGAGACCTCGGTGAGGGAACCGGCGGTAGAAGGAGACGGACTCGTCAAAGGTGACGTCACGAGAGTGGAGGAAGCGGTGAGACGGCGGGTGGTAGAAAAGCCAGTCAGACGAGTCCAGGGGGAAACCGAGGAAGACACAGGGGACAGTGCGGGCAGTGAGCTTGTCCGTGCCAGAGGCACGAACGTGAGCAAGGCAGCCCCAGACGTGGAACGCAGACGCGTCACCGGGGGACCCGGTCCAAAGGAGGGTCGGCGAAACCTGCGGCCGCAGGGAGCGTGGCCACAGGTTCAGCTGGTGAGCCGCGTAGCGAACAGCGAACGGCCACAGAAAATGGGGGGCATCGGCATGGATCATGGAGGTACGGGCGACCTCCATGACCAAGCCGATGCGGCGCTCAGCAACCCCATTCTGCTGTGGCGAGTCCGGCAACGTGTACGACTAGGTGATGCCCTCCGCACGACAGAACTGTCCAAGCCGACCAGAGGCGAACTCGCCGCCACGGTCGGAGTGGAGACACAACACGGGGAGACCGCGGTGGAGACGCGCAGCCACAACCCACGAGAGAAGAACGTCGGGCACGTCGGCCTTCCGCTCCAGGGGAAACACCGTGGTGTAGCGCGTGTAGTCGTCGACGAGCACAAGGAAGTAGCGCTCACCGCGCGGTCCGGGGACGGGGGCAGGGCCCCAAACGTCCAAGTGCAGGGTCTGAAGGGGGGCAGTAGAGGACGCAGCGAGGAGGAGTGAGGAGCACGGCGGAGCCGACCCTCGACGCAAGGCGTGCACGGTGGCGCAGTCGAGGGAGGAAGGGCAGGGAGCGACGCGGGGAGACCTAAGACAAGACCGTGCTGGGACATGTGACGCAGACGCGGGAGAGCAGGGTGACCTAAGCGGTGGTGCCAGAGAAGGGAGGGGTGAGTGAGGGACCGACACGAGCAAGCTGCAGCGACCTGGGAGGACGCACCAACCGGGGGGGAAGCGGTGTGTAGGGTAAACAGACCGGACACCGGGTCCCGGGGGAACGTCGCAAGGGGGGAACCTGAGACAGCCTCAGAACAGACAGCGAACCGCTCGTGCCCGGGGAACGTGGTGGTGACGCCGAGGTCCTGGAGACAGCCGACACCAACCAGGTTCCTGGAGAACGAGGGAACGTGGAGGCCAGTAAGGGAGCCCGAGGGAACTGCCGGACAAGGAAGGGACGTAGAACTGCGCGCGACGACCGGACCCGCAGAGGGGTCAGCGAGAGAGACAACAGCAGGTGCAGCAAGCGGCGTGAGCGTGGAACGGTCGCGGAAGAAGCAGGCAGAAGCACCAGAGTCGAGAGTGAAGGACAGCGACGCAGTGGCGGAGGCCGGGACGGAGCCGGTGCAGCGACTAGACTAGGCAACCTAGGCAGTCCTACGCCTGTCGCAGCAGGGGAAGCTAAGCTACACAAGGGTGAAACACCTAAACTAGAGTACACAGGGTAGTAAGATCCAGCAACACTAGAAGCGTCAGCATACAAAGCATGCAAGGCAGCACCTATCTGATCCATGTCTAACTCAAAGATCGGCACGCCCTGGCGGAGCAGGCTGTGCCAGTCAGGGAGGTCCGGGGCCGGGCCAAAGCGACGACGAAAAAGATCGTCGAGGCGGCGGAAACAGCGGGCGGTCGGGTGCGGGCGGCGGCACAGAGTGCCGCGGAGAGGCCCGGTCTGAAGCTGGTACTGGCAGGTCACAGCACTGGAGCCGCTGGTAGACGCCAAGCTGCGCGGGCCGCCACCACGGCCACCGCCTCCGGAGGTGCCGGGCCAACCAGGCGGGAGACGAGCCCACGGCTGCGGCGGGTGCTGCTGGGACGGCGGCTGCGGCTGGGGCTGGTCCTGCTGCTGCTGGGGCTGCTGCTCCTGCCCACCGGTGGTAGTCCCTCAGGCGGACTACCGTCACCACCACCACGACCACTACCACCTGCGTCACCACCCCTACCTCCCTGGCGGCCACGGCCACCGCGACGCGAGCGCTGCTGCGGGTGGACAGCAGCAGCCGTCTCGGTAAGAGGGGTCGCCGTGGCGACCGCAGCCGAAACGTCAGTGAACGTGCACTGGGATGGGGCACAGCCGTGAAAGATAGAGACTGCGGCGCACCGCTCGACTGAGCGATAGTGCGCTGGCGAGTCTCGATCTCAGTGAGGGTGTCGACAAAGGCGGTCAGGGTGAGGTCACCGGGTGCTGGCTAAGAAAGTGGTCGCGAGCACTAGCGAGGCGGTCTGGCAGGCGCATAGCGATAAAATAGAGCGTCATGCAGAAAGGAGGGGGCGGCAGTGAGCTGGGCAGCAGTGCTGGCAGTGCGATAGCGAGTCTCTAGGGCACGCAAATGAGTGGCAAAGTCTGCGACAGTAGGGAAGGCAGCCAGGTCTGGGAACAGCATCGGAAAGAGCAAGCGGCCAGCAGAAGCGGAGGCAGGGGTGGAATAGCGAGCAATAACGGCGTCTAAATAAGCTTTGGCCGTTTCAACAGTAGCAAAACGCGAGCGCTCAGACACAGGGAGGGCGTGACTAATAGCAACCTGAGCTACTGCATCGCGTGAGTCCCAGACCGCACAGGCCAGCGCAGCAGTAGAGAAAGCCTCACGGTCATCAGAGGAGGGGTCAGCAGGGAGGGGAGTAGGTGCAGGGGGACGGGGGAGCAAGCCATCAGCATGGACAACCAGAGAGTGGCCATCCTGGCGCTGACCTGTAAGCTGGCGGCGGAGATCGGAGAGCCAGGCGGCGAAGTCAACCGCGTGGCCCTCAGCGTCCAGGCGGAGCACAAAGTCAGCCATCGTGCAGGGTCAGCGGCACAGCTCCTCAGCGACACAGCGGCACAGCAGCACAGCTCCTCAGCGGCACAGGAGCACAGCGGCGCGGGGACACGGCGGCAGCACTCTCCAGTAGGGCAGCAGCTAGGCGTCCCAGCGCAGGCGAGCAGAAGACACAGGGCCCGAGAGGACACGGCAGGCCGAGCAGGGGAGGCGGGCAGGTGCTCTGGGGCCGGGCTGGTGCTGGGAGGGGCCAGGCTGGTGCTGCTGGGGCCGGTCGGGCACGAGGAGGGGCCGGGCAGCGCTGAGGAGAGGCCGGGCGGCGCTAGGAAGGGGCCGGGCGGCACTAGGAGGAGGCCGAGCGGCACTAGGAGGGCCAGGCAGGCGAGCGCTAACAGCAGGCGCGACAGGGGCCAGCGGGCGCGACGGGCCTAAGGGGCGCGACGGGGCCCAGCGGGCACGACGGGGCCCAGGGGGGGCGCGACGGGGCCGAGGAGGCGCGACGGGGACCAGCGGGCACGACGGGGCCCAGGGGGGCCGCGACGGGGCCTAACGGGCGCGACGGGGCCAGGGGGCGCGAGGGCCTAGGGCGCGACGGGGCCTAGAGGCGCGACGGGCGGAAGCGGTAGGGGGGATCCTAACCTAAGCGTGATACCATGTTAACGTAGAAACGAATGATTACTAGAGGTGGAAACCTAGAACAAATACTAGTTGGTTGTACTCACTAGGAGCATACCTCAGTCTAGCCTATAACTTCTACATAGATAATATGTATAAGTTGACAGCTGTAACACTAATTTTGGTGTTACAACTCGTTAATACTGGCTGTTACTGAAGGTACTTCCAGTATTACTTTCTACTTCAAGTACTTGT